AATGTTAGTTTTAACTGTACTATTTATTACATCTGCTTTTGCTGTAAACCACCCTGAATCTTACTTGCAGGGATGGGTGGCCTAACAAATCTGAATACATAAATAATAAATTACTGTGGTTGTTGCAGTAACAAAAATAAAGGGAATCAGAGCATACTGGCCCATAATTCATCCTGACATAACACCCACCTTCCATGCTATTTGTAATGGAAGTTAACATTGTTTATTTGTGGCAAACATAATTACAAAGAAAATAAAGCTGGGGGACTAAAAAATGGCCACTGGCTTCATGATGATTATTTTAGATGCTGTGTCCAAAATGAAGGAAATTGGAACATCATGGTCCAGATCTCCACACCACTATAAGTAATAGATGGTATGGTTGTCTGTGGCAGGCATAACTAGTTCGAAAATAAAGCTAGAAGCTTCAAAATTCATGACAGGCTTCAAAATGATTGTGGGAGTTGTGATGCTAAACATGAATGAGATCAGGACATCTTGGCTTACACAGTCTCCAGCACACCCACTACTTCATGTTTTGCTTTGGAAGCTATGGTTGTCACATGAAGGCATGACTCATCAAACAACAGAGATAAGAATTTTTAACTGACCACCAGCTTCAGGATGATCATGGGAGCTGCAGTGCCACCAATGAAAGGAAACTGAACATTTTTGCCAAGGCTGTTATGACAAACTATCACCTCCTTGATATTTCTAATGGAAGCTAATGTACTGTGTTTGTGGAAGGCATGACTTACCTGAAAATAATTCTAAGAGTCACAAAACTGGCTATCATGTTAAGGATGGTTGTGTAAACTGCTTTGTTTCCCAACTGGAGAGAAAGGTGGGGAATGATGTTGTTTTGAGCTGCAGTTCACAAGATGATTGCTGTTACATCTTCACCTGATATTGTTGCAGCTGTTTTGGCAGGAAGAAGAACTGCTAAGTCAGTATCAAAAGTTGTCAGTTTGTTAAGTGGAGTGGACCACCACAACAGGGATGAGAATGTTCAAATAATCCCTATGAGTATCCAAATGTTTGGAACACTTGAGTTATTTGTTTATGAAAAGGAGAAAAACTCTTGGGGAAAAGCTCCCAAAGCAATACTTGTAGATATAAGGGGGGGAAATACTGTAATGAGTACCCAGCATACAACAACAAAACAATGATGAAGAGGCATATTCCAGACACAGGAAAAGAAAGATATTATGGACTGCGATAAATATGATTCAACAGGTGACAATATGAGTTTTTGCAAGAAATGATAATTAATTGTACGGTATTTAGTAATATATAATATGATTATTGGGTGTAATAGATAATGTACAGTGCGATTCTAAGCAGAATCACACCCTTCAAAGTCTCCTGAATTCAATGGATTTAGAAGGGTGTAAATCTGATTTTCATATTACTGGTATAGATTTGTATAAATTACGTTGGACAGCCATTATCTGGAAAAGCAGAATAAAGATCTCTTTAATAATAATAAATTCTATAACTGTGTATTTGTTGGCTAGTTGGATTACCATTATTACTGATATGCTGGTAGTTGTACCTGGAGATGAAAATGAATCATATTATTTTTCTTCATTCCTTTGTCTTAGTACAGGGGGCAGAATATCTAGGATCATCCATATTAATCACCAAATAATTCTTTCAATTCCACTCCTTTAAAGTGTACTGGTTTCTGTTCCATCAGAATATTTGCTGCTCTTAGTTTGGAAAACAAAGAGAAATTCTTCGGGGATGAAATAGATGAAAACCCCTGAATGACCTCTTATCATAGGTATGCATACATAAGCAAGAATGACTAGATTGTAAACCAACAAATCCTCCTGGAGTAATAATAAAGCTAAATTTGACAAAAGCAGATTTTGAGTGTGGTTTGGTGGAGAAGTTCAGAGGGCCATAACATCATGCAGCTTACTTAGATTGATAAGGAGTTTTGCACATCTTTAATATAATTATTCCAAATCAAGAACAATGCCATCTTAAATTAGTTGAGCTTCACATGTTGTTGAAACTACATGGAGCTTTTAAAATGTGTACAGCACAACTGATTTAAGAGACTTGCCACTGATACCGAAAAAGTAATTCAGGAGCAGACACAGATACCTCCTATAATTATTTCTGATTTCACCTGAAAAAAAAACCCCTGGGAACTGGGTTCAGATGTACTACAGATCCTGCTCTCTCCTCCAGAGAAGTCTCATTCC